GGGCATGCTGTTTAACTTTCCCAAGGCTGATTCCTCTTCAGGATGACCCTGTCCTTCCTCTAACAGAGGGTGGTTGTGAAGACCATGGGGTGGAAGCAAATTGTAAATGACAAAGCGCTGCCCATCTGTGTGGCTTTCTGTCACTGCCCAGGATCGTGTGGTCTTGGACACTGATGCTGGGGCTCCAGTCTAATCTCCCACAGCCTGCCCTAAAGGAACATTCCACTAAGATTCCTGTAAGATCCCCAGGCCCCTCCCTCCACCATAACCCAGTCTTCTGATTTCAGCCTGTACAGATGTCCCGGGGCAACTGAAGGAGGTTCGGGGCCTGATCTCACGTCTGCAAAGGTAAGGAACTTTCCCCTTCTTTCCCATGTCCTCCTTCCTACCAGGGTCTATGACGTGACCCCAGCCTGATACTAACTTGGGAGGGGAGCAGAGGGAAGGGGATGGGATATGACTAAAGCCCTGGGGCAGGGGTGGCAGGAGCTTTGTGAAGCCAGTGCGCTGGCAGTGGAGGGGCCCTGGGTGCAGGAGCCGCGCCTGGCCCATCTGCTCCTGGCTACAACACCTGCCTCCTGCCTCCTGCAGCCACCTGGCAGAGATCCCTGACCCTCCAGCTGAGGTGCGCAAACCAGCACCTGCCAGAGCCCACCAGACGTGCATGCAGAATGTGGAAGACACTGCTCCTGCTACCTTGTCCCCACTCGCTGCCCTGGCTCCTCTGCCTGAGCATCCTCTGCCTGTAGCCTCCACCCTGTCACCAGGCCCAACAACCTCCGTGGCTTCTGTTGGTTCATACTCACCCCTGAGTGTCTCTCAGCCACCAGAGCCTTCGCTCCCCGTTGATACCCTCACAACCCGGCCACTTGTGCTTCCTCCTCCCCCATCACGACCCCCTGACCCTGTAGCCTCCCATCTGCCTCCAGCAGACTCCAGCCGGGCTACTTCTCCCATCCCAGCAATCTCAACCCTTAGTCACCCAAGCTGTCCCATCTCAGCTCTCTCCTGGTGGCAGGTGGCTGCCAAGGCCTTGTGCTTCCCCACCTCATCACAGGATAAATCCCAGCAAGAGGGTCTTTCCCACAGCCCAAAAGAGGCCTTGTTTTCGGGAGAACCCACACACAGGAACATGGAGGCTGGTGGCCCCTCTTTGGTCGACCCCAAAGCCCAGGAGCTATTGGAGATACTAATCACCAAGAGAGCAGGACACAAGATTTGGAATGACAAACAGAAGAAGGAATCAGACTATCACCTGGATTCTCTGAGGAACACATTAAAGTCCTCAGGTGATGAGCAGGACACCAGAACCCCGCAACCCTTCTGGACCATGAAAGACAAACCAGGACAGCTGCCTGTTCCTCAGCAGCTCTCTGATCCCAAGGTGTTGCAGGGCCATTTACAGAAGAAACACAGCCAGCTCTTCTGGGGCCTCCCCTTTCTGCACAGTGAGTCCCTGGTGGCTACAATTAGGATCTCTGGTTCCCCACTGGAGTTTCCCTCTGTTTTATTTAATGAACTTTCTGAAGGCTTTCCAGTACAAATTCAGACTCAACTATCTCCACAAAGTTTTCACACCCAGTTCTGGTCCCCCCATGTGGCCCAACCCCAACCTCTGACTCAAGCCTTGCTGCTGTCCCAGGCCTCACCTCTTGCTCAGACCCACAGCCAGCCCCACACCTCATCCTGTCTCCCCATCCCACTGTGCTACTCACCAGAGATCGTGGCCTGGGGAGCAGCTTGCCCTACAGACCAGCAGGAGGCCCAACTACAAGAAAGTAGGAGGGATTTACCCCGCATGGTTAAGAAACCTCAGGAAGTCTTTAGGCAACTCACCCCCGACAGTGAGGCCTTCCAGGACCATGAGTCAGTCTCCCTCCTCCCAGGGGACTTCATCAGCCC